AGTCTGATGGAGGGCCAGCCAGTGGTGTGGTGATTAAGGTAGCTAAATCCCAGATGGCCAACTATATTATTTGAGTCCCAAAACACACACATGTGTGTGTGTTTGTGTGTGTGTGTGTGTGTGTGTGTGTGTGTAGGAGAAAAAATTGCAGTATGGCCATTCCGCATAGTGAGGTGCGTTCTTACTTTCCCTCCCTCTTTCACAAGTGCAAATGCCCTCTAGCAATTTTTTTTTTAAAGTTCTGTGGACTTTGAGGTATGTTAATGTGAACAATTGACTATAAATGTGGGCACTGAATTGAGGCCCTTGCTAATTGATTGTTGCCTAGGAGCCTAGGCTGTCATTGGATTTTTTTGTTCAAGACTGAGCCTTCACCCTATTGATAGAATCTTAGAAGCTTCGCCTATCAGTGATTTGCTGTTTCAGGAGGTTAGTCACTGTGATGAAGCTGTTTGTTTACTGGCTGACTTTCAGACCATATGTATTCACCCAAAGTTGTCTCTAATTGGTGGCTACTTGTTCACAACTTTGGATTTGGGCCAGGAAAAAAATATATTCTGGGCCCATCAGTGGAGATGCGGGCTACTCAGACACTGCTCTGCATGTTGGAACCTTATGAAGACCCAAGTTTAACTTCCACCTTTAACCTAAAGAGGTAGTATGATGTATGCCTCTAATCCTAGAGACTCAGGGAAGTTTAAGCAGGAGTATCGTGAACTTGAGGCCATCCTGGGCAACAAAGAGAGACTATCTGAAAAAGAGTCAACTGTGATGCCTGTAGTCCCAGTTGGGAGGGCAGAGCATGAATATCAGGACATGGGAAGACCCGGTTTTATCATATGTGTGTGTGTGTGTACACACACACACACACACGCATTGAGGCCGGTAGGTGGCAGTGTGATTATGATGCTGGACTCCCACATGGTTGATTGTGGTTAGAGTCCCAGACGTGGCATCTTACTTTCTTACTTTATCTCTCTCTCTCTCTCTGGCTCCCTAGTGAGCACATTTGTCCTATAAGAAATTTAAAAATAATAATAAAATTAATAATTCTCTTTTTAAAAGTCTGGTTTTTTTGTTTTTTTTTTTACTTCCTTGAGCATGAACATTCATCTAATTCTCATTCTCTCTTTTTGATTCCAACAGCCAAACCTCAAGACTAACCATAGATGTTCCCTGGGTTTTTATTTGTAGGTTTATGATTTTTCATACCCCTACTGGTGATATAGTTAGTGTGAGAAAAAATAGCTCTAACTGCTGACATTTTGCAGTGATTTCCAAAAAGCTGAATACAAGATATAAGCCATTCTGACAGGTCAATACTAGATTCAGGACAAAATAATTAAATACAAGGTATGTCCAAGAACAGTACTGAGGTCTTAATTCATAAAGAGGAAACAGCAACCACACAGATCAATGCCACTAAAAAGAAAGTTTAATGTTACTCACAGTTCCCTGGGAAATGAGAGATACCACACATACCAAAGAGATCTTCCCAAATTCAGAGACTTTGAAGGAGGAAGAGTGAGACAGAGAGGAGAGAGAAACTTGGACTGTGTACCTTTATGACCAAAGCGTGGGGCATAAGTGGGAACATCCCATTGGGCAAGGAAAGGAATACACACATTAGGGTTTGTGTTGGGGTTGGGGCAAGTTGGATGTAATATTCGTTTCCAGCACCAGAAAAAGTAACTTGCAAGAAAAAGAAACAACTTTGTTTGATCCTGTGGCTTAATACTAAACACAAATAAAGAATCTAAGAACAGATTGGTCCTCTATACACACAGCAGCTGGCAACCCTACTGCTGATGCATCCCATGGATGTACTCTTGACCTGAAACCCCATATGTGGTTTTTTGTTTGTTTTTTGTTTTGTTTTGTTTTCTTTGTTTTTTTTAAAGGTTTTCGCTGTAGGGTGCATGCGCTTGCGCCAGACAGAAAGCGAGAAATCACCCCCCCAGGGGGGGTGGCCATGCCACAATCCCTTCTCCATTTTCCCTTCGGGATCCTAGGCACTCAGGCACACATACCCGGCGTGAGTTTAAGCCACCAGGTCTGGGACGTGAACCGCAGTCAACTACATGGGAGTCCAGCGACATAGTCATTACACTAACTGCTGGTCCCATCGGTATGTGTTCTTTGAACCTTTGATACAGCTTTAAACACCCATTTTCACTCAGCTTTTTGTTTTTGAGATTTTTTTTTTGTCGTAGGGCACATGCACTCACCAGAAAGACAGAGACCCACAGAGAGACAGAAAATGAGAAATCTCTCTCCGGTGGGGATGGCCATGCCTCAATCCCTTCTCCATTCTCCTTTTGGGATCTTGGGCACGCACACACATGCGCCCAGCGTGAGTTTAAGTGACCAGGTCTGGGACTTGAACTGCAGGCAACTACGTGGGAGTCCAGCAACACAGCCATTACGCCAACTGCTGGTCCTGATCACTCAGCTTCTTTATTCTTTTTTTTCCTTCTTCTTATTCCAGATCTCTGCCATAGGACATGTGTGTTCTCCAAAGATAGGGGGAAAGTGAGAAATCCCCCCTGAGGGATTGCCACATCAAGAGCCCTTCTCCATTCTCCTCTGGGGATCTTGGGCACATGTGCACATGCACCCAGTGTGTTTTTCAAGCTGCCAGGTCTGGGACTCGAACCACAGAATTGGCCATGAAGGATCCAGTGCCCTAATCACCATACCACCTACTGGCCCAGCTTCCCGATTCATTTTTATTTTCATGGCATGTACTTCAATTTATTGTTCCTACTTTTCAACCAAGCAGTTAATAAGCAATATTTTTTCCCAGAGATATTTTTGTTATAGGGCATATGCGCTTGCTGGAGAGACAGAAAGCAAGAAATTACCACACTGGCAATGCTGCAGTCCTTCTTCATTCTCCTATTGGGATCTTGAGCATGCTCACACATGCACATGCACCAGGCATGAGTTTTTTATGTTACCGGGTCTGGGACTTGAACCACTGTCAACTATGTAACCATTGTGCCATCTGCTAGTACTAGCAATATTTTCCATTATGGAAAAAGAGCGTATTTTTTGTAGATAAAGGACGAGAATACTGAAGGTTCCATATAGCCACAGGTTCAGTTTCATTCTCTGACTTCTCAGACTTTGCTATCTCTCTGAAACTTCACTAAGATCTTAATTTCTATTACTTGTGGCAAATAGGTTTCTCTAGAGCTATTTCTGCCACTTTTAAAAAATATTTATTTATTTTCATTTTATTTTTTCATTCATTTAATTTGACCAGAGAAAACCAGCCACAGAGAGAGAAGGAAAGTGAGAAAGCGAGCCATCAGGTCCGGGACTCAAACCGCAGTCAACCATGTGGAAGTCCAGCACCCTTACCACACTATCTGCTGATGCCGCCATTTTCTTTGAATAACTACAGAGTCACTATTAATAGCTTTTGATAATTTCCATTGCACAAGTGTTTTGTTTTGTTTTGTTTTTGGAGAGGTTTTGCTATAGGGCACGTGTGCTTACCAGAAAGACAAGAGAGACAGAAAGGGAGAAATCCCCCCCACCCCGGGGGGGGGGAGACACTGCAATCCCTTTTCCTCCATTTTCTTCTTGGGCTTTTGGGCACACACGCACACGCGCCCAGCATTAATTTAAGCCACCAGGTCTGGGACTTGAACTGCGGTCGACTACATGAGAATCTAGTGACATAGCCATTACGCTAACTGCTGGTCCCATGTCACAAGTGTTTTCAAAGATATTTTCCATTCCATGATCGGATGATACAGTTTAAATAATCACTTCCCAGCAAGGAGATGAAATCGTGGAATTCCACATCTTTTCTGGGGTATAAGATGTTTCCTTTGTTCGTATGCTCCGACTAAAAATGGCAGATTGTTCTGGCAGGAAATGATGTGTTACCAGTTGCTCTGGTTTTCATTTTTCAGATTTTTTTTTTTTTTATGGAGAGGTTTTTGGTATATGGGGCTTGCACTCGCCAGAAAGACAGAGACAGAAAGCAAGAAATCACCCCTCAGGGGGGATGGCCATGCTGCAATCCCTACTCCTTCATTCTCTCACGAGAATGCACACATGCACACGTGTCTGATGTGAGTTTAAGCCACCTGGTCCGGGACTCGAATCGCGGTCTACTACATGAAGTCCAGCATCAGCTGGTAGCCATTTTTCAGATTCCTAAACGGTAAATATGTTAGCCATGTTGTAATAAATAGTATTTGAATAAAAGTGTTGCTGCTTGGGCAGGGTCACAGTCAGTGACTATACAAGAAAGTTATTTTCTCTTGGAACCTTCAACCTTTCAACCTATTTTGGTACTTCCCTTCATCCTTTCTACATGTTTCTGTACCAAACATATTGAAATTCATTAAACTGAGTCCAAAACTTTATTATGTATTTGAAAAGCAAGACAAGTGACAGCAGAGGGGACGCAGAGTGACTTTAGGGTATGCCGGGTTCTCTTAGGTGTGTGACTTTTGGGAGCTTAATGTTCATCAGGAAAGTCTTAAATAATGGGTATTTTCCGTGAGTATCCTTAAATACACAAGAAAATCTGGGTATGTCTCCTTTAAGAGCAAGCCCAGCCCCGTCCCGTTTAGAGCCCTGGAACTCCATTTCCCAGCGCACCTCGGGGAATCACGGAGCCTCGTCCGGAGTAAGGGAGGGAATCAACGCTCCGAGACCAAGCAGCCACGAAACCCGGCTACCCAGAAGCCTCTGCGGCGCGCGGTGGCAGCTATTGAGCCAATGAGGACTTAAAAGGGGGGCATACTGCGCGTGCGCATTGCAGGGGCCGGGGCTTCCGGCTTCCTGCCGGTGTGGCCATTACGGTTGCTGTTTGGTTTCTTCAAGCATCCGGGATTATGGCGGGCTCGGTTGTCATCGAGGTGACAGAGCGGAAAAGCGGGAGAAGGCGCTTGATTCCCGCTGCTCGGCGAAGGGCGTGAGGCTCGACCCGGCTAAG